TCTCTCTCTCTCTCTCTCTCTCTCTCTCTCTCTCTCTCTCTCTCTCTGATGTACTGCACCGTACCTCTCCCTCTAATGTGTTTAAGAACAAATTCTAATTCCTTACGCGCTACATTGCAAATTTAGAATAGAGAAAAGACAAAAGACGCACAACAGCCAATTGAAAATGGTCGGGAAAAAGCAATTTCCATTTTCTGCGAGTCAGAATACGCACACAATCATTTTTCGAATAAATTAAATTTCGGTGAATTTTTGGCGCGACAACAAAAATAGAATGATTTTGTCAGATGTTCGGCACGATTGCGTTGTAAATCTGATAAATTGACAGCATTTGTAGCACATCTTTGGATGCACATTGAGAGAGACATGAGTCTACAGTCTCTTTGGCGTTTATTGCACGAGAATAAAATTTCACGTCGGAGAGTGAATGAATATCCAGTTTATCTGTAGCAAAATGTAATTAATCGTGTTTTGACTACGCAAAATCTCTAGTCATTTAAGTGACAAAAGTGATGGCATGTGATTTCCCGCCACAACGAAGGCAAATTTTAAACAAATCTGCTATTCACTTCAATACACGCTTCATGCGCCTGTTGCTTTTATTTCGTCGATAATCGCTAACCATATACTTGATGTTGTCGTCTGACATTGTTTTTGTTTCCTCTGATATCGAATGAAACAATGAACATGTGAAATGAATAAGTTTTGCTAGCAAAGATTTTTTGTGTTCTAATTTTTTTTTCTTTCGCTTTCGTCACTTTCGATTCGATACAATTTTATCTCATGCAATTTTTGACGCCTTTTTATTCAAAAAAAATTTGATACCGTCAAAATTTCGCACACACACACGCACACAAACAGTAATCGAAAGAATACATACATTTACACTGGCCATGAATTGGATTCATATCGGGTGATAACATCGTGGGGCACGCATTCTTCGCAAACCGATCATGCACGCTTTTGGAGGGAAATGTCGAATAAGCCAATAAAATACGATAATTTACGAAATGAACAAGACATAAAAAGATCGAGAATACTTACGTAAATGTTAATGCTGTGGCAATCTAATCAAAGCTCAACATCACTGAGAATTGTCTAGACGTGCGTTTAGAAGATTTTCTCGATTTCTGTATTAGTGTTTCTCTCTCTCTCGCTCGCTCACTCAATTTTTTCATCGATAAAATGAAACGTCGATTGTGGAACTAAGGTCTTGAATCGTCTCATTAATGCGAATTGAAAGTCTTCAGAAACTGACATGACTTTTACTTTGGCTGAGTTGGAACGATGATGGTAACTAAACAATTCCCTGAGAAAACAAGAAAATATTTACGCATTAAAAGTCATGAACGATAAAATGAGACTATATTAACAAAATTGCTTTCTCTCTGCATACACCAGCGTGCGTGAGTCTGAGAAAAAAGAGCGAAACGTCGAAGCATACCGCCAGTTTTAAAGGGTACATAAAGCACACGTTGATCTTGTTGTGAAAGGAGTTTTCTGCATTCGACCGCGTTTTTTTTTATTCTTGCAAGACTGTTGCTCTTGCTCTATCTCTGGTAACCTTTGCGTCCTTTTTCGCTCATTTGCGTCGTGGTTCCGTAAAATGTAGCGAACATTTGGTGCGCTTTCTACCGTTTTCTTTCAAATAATTCAATATTTCATTATGCTTAACGGTTTTGATGGGTCCTTTGCCATCTGAAAATGGGAAAACCCAATTTATTATGCGCGCTCATCCTGATGAGAGAGAGAGAGAGAGAGAGAGAGAGAGAGAGAGAGAGAGAGAGAG